TCTGATTCTTTAAATTCATCTTTACAAATAGGACAACTAATTAAATTATCAAAGTGTTCTGGTTTAGGAAATGTTGTAGTTGTATTAATAGTTGTAGTTGTTTTTGGAACTGTTTTTGGTGTTGTTTGTAAAATAGTAGTAGTTTTTGTTGTTTTTGTTGTTGTAATATTAATATTAGTATATGGTTTTGAAAAAGTAATAGTTGTAGTTGTTGTTGATAAAGAGGTTGTGGATGTTGGTGTAGTAATAGTTATAGTTGTTAGTAAATTTGTTGTTGTTGGTGTTAAAATAGTTGTAGTTAGAGTAGGTGTATTACTATCTTCAAGAGGTCGAGTAGGTGTAGGTTGTGTTGGTTTAAAATAAACTTACTTTTTATCTTTATTTTGTTTTTCTTTATCATTTTCATCAAATTTTCGTTTTAAATCTTTAATTTCTTCAACCATATTTCTAATTGCTAAAGCATTATTTGTTCCAAGATCAATAAATCGATATGTTTGAATAAAATCTAATATTACAGCACAAGGTCCTCTTAAAAACCCTTTATCTCTAGTTGGGTTAAATTTGGGTCCAAGAAAATATCTTTTATCTTCATGTCAATCAGTCATATATTTTAAATGTCGCAATGGTTTATTAATATCATTTACAACAACAATCCAGAAAAATCCAATATTAAATTGAACAAATGTTGGTTTATTATTTGTATTATCATTATTAAAAGCTGTAATACACCAATTTTTTTCAATACACCAATTAAAACATATAGTTATTTCATAATTGCATTTGGAACATTCAATATTTTGTATTTTTTCATATACTATGTTAAAATTTCTTTTTACACGACTATTAATGAGATTGCTCAAGTTTTCAAATACTGCTGATGATGATAAGCTAGCATTTTGTCCAATACCTTCATCTTGAGTTAATTGACAAGTATTATCTTGCTTAAGTATTAATAATCTAACTTTAAATGATTTTATAATTGGATTAATTACATATATATCATTTGTATTCTGTTTGCCTTGTCCTTCTGCTAGAGGAAAAACGTATTTATTTTCTGTATTTCCTTCTTCAACAGTCAATGATTGAATACTATCATTAACATGACCAAAAATTGTTAATTTAAATATTTGATAAAAATTTAACATAAGTTTTGTGCGAGTATTATTGTTAAATGGTATATCTTGAAATAATAGTTGACTAAGATAATATTGTTGTGGCTAGAATAAAAGAGTATTATGGCCATCAGAAGTTACAGCAGGTGTATCTATATTTGCTTTATTTCTTCTGCATTGAATAAATGAGTTATATCATGTTTGTTCTTTTTCATAAGTTTTAATACCACATTCTCATTCAATATCTAAGAGTTCTTCGGTTAATAAAGAACAAAAGTTTACTTTTGGTTTCGCTATTTAATATTCTTCTGAACCAACTGTAAAATAATTTTGATTTGTTGATTAAAAACAACAGGTACAACTAGAATTACAAACTCCTGGTTCTTTGTATAACAGCACTGACAAGTGTTATTACAATTCTTTTTTACTAATATTGCTGTATTATTTTCTTTAAGTTTTACTAGTTTTGGTTTTTTTGTTATTACTTTCTTTTGTGTTGTTTTTTGGTTTATCGTTGTTTGTTTTCTAGTTTTTTTCTTTTTTTGAGTAGGCTTACTTGCCAATTTCTTTTTTGTGTTTTTTTTAGAAGCCACTTTTATTGATATTGATCAATGAATTGAATAAAAAATGAGATAGCTTTTGTAATAAGAGTTGATAAAATTTGTTGTAAATTATTAATAGAAATTAAGGTAAAAATATCTTTGTAAAAATTTATTGAATAGAAAATTGCTAAAAATAAAATTAAAATAATTTCTAATAGAATTATAAGGAAAAGTAAATCATAAAGATTTGATTTATCCATGTATAATTATTTTTATAAACTGGTCTATTTATATATTTTTTTGTATAAATATACAAGCTTTTCTTTATTTAACATTAAAAATAAAAGTTTCTTTATTTTTTTTAATATTGACAATTTTATTAACAATTAACATTGTTGAATCGAGAAAATACAAAAAAATTGAAAGAAAAAAATATACAAGATTAGGATGCAGATGCAATTTCTTGTAATTTTTTTGATATTTTTATTATTTTTAAGTGATGTTGGTACTCTAGTAACTAGAAAAAGACGTATATTACATAGAAGAGTTGGTAAACCAAGAAGTAGAAAAAATAGTTCAAGAGTTGTTGTTCCAAGACCAAAAGGTTCATGTTATGCTAGAATACCTATATCAGCTTAACCAAATACAGTTATTGATAAGTTAGTAACTTGGAATAAAGATAGATATAAAGATATATTAAATCGAAATAGTGGGGTTACAAATCAATATAAAGGAGGGATTTATATTGAGAGAGTTGGAAGTAATGGTCAAGTTTATTATTTACCAGTTTATAAATTACCAGAAATAATTCCTAGATCTAGAAATGAATTCTAATTCAACAGAAGTTAATAAGATTCGAATACTGGGTAGTACTGGTAGAGTCTAAACATTTTTTTTATTTATTTTATATTATATATTATATTTTTATTTTATATTATATTATATTATTTATTTATATTATCTGTTATATTATTATAATAAATAAATTAAACCAATTATACGTACATTTAAAATTGATTATAAATACATAATGCATGTGTATAAATTTACTAAATTGAGAAGGATAATATGTATTAAATATATATTTAATTTACAAATGTTACAAACTAAACTTTATATTATTAGATTTTAATCTTTATAAGAGAAGCTATCTCTCACATAAAAAAAACAAATTGAATCAACTTAAGACAATCTTACTGCTAAAACAACAAATATAATTTAATATAAAAATGTTTTCAAAATTTTTTTTTGTTATTACTCTCTTGGTTCTTTTAGGACTATTTCTTACAAATATTTTCGCTGATGAATATCAAATTAATATTTACCAAATTATAATTAAAATAATTTATTCAGACACATTCTTTTGGATTTTTATAGTTACTATTAATATAATAATAACTATTATTATAAATACATTATTTCAATTATCATTTTGGAGTACTATATATGAACAATATCCAGAACGATTTATCTCTTAAAGATAAGATACTTCAGATAATTATAAATAGTGAATTTTATATTTTCAAAATTATGTTATTGTTCAAGAAAACTGATGATTAAACAATCTAAGAAAGATCTCAAATATTGTTAAACTTTGCAAACCAGTCACTGCTACTGGAAATTGTAGTACCAAAAACATTTTAAGAAATTTGTAAATATAAAAATAGTTGTAAAATAATAAGATTAAAATAGTTGAAGAAATTAAAATTGATAAATTGGTTTATAAATTAATTGTAAATTATAATAGATATAAGATATTTTAAAGTCGACATAAAATATTTTATATCTATTATAATTTATTATTTTATATAAATATAGTTATAAGTCAACAATAATTATATTTATATGAAAATAATTTAAATTAATTTATAGACCAATTTATCAATTTTTATATATTACTAATATCATTTAATACTCGCTCAAGTTCATTTACTTTTGTATGTAAATTAATAAAATTATTATTAACATTAATTTTAAAATTTGAAAAATTTATTGTTGATATTTTTTTTTAGTATTTAAATAAGAACTCTTCTCTTTTTTTTATATATTTTAAAAATGATCCAAAAAATTAATAATATAAATAATATTCTTTTTAATGAAAAAGAATCTATTCAATACTTATTAAAAAAAGATTTAATTAAACAACCAACTTCTTGTAAATTTTGTAATCAAAATTTATATTGATATCAAAAATCTTGGAAATGTATTAACAATAAATGTAGAAAATCATTTTCTATATACAAAGATTTTTCTTTTCAAAACATCATATTTGATGTAATGATATTCTATTATTAGCTTATTTTTGGGTAGCAAAACTTCAGTACAAACAAATTTTAGATATTACAAAATATTGTAATGATACAATTTGTAATTATTCTAAAATATTTCACGATTTAGTAATTAATTCATTAAATAAAGATAATAAAATATTAGGAGGGAAAGGTATTATTGTGAAAATTGATGAATCGAAATTTGGAAATTTATGGGTTGTTGGAATTACTGAAAGAACTAGAAACAAGAAATGTTATTTTGAGGTTGTTAAAAATCATAATTATTCTACTCTTTTTAAGTTTATAAAAAAATATGTAAAACCAGGTTCTACACTTTATAGTGATTGTTAGAAAGATTATAATAATATTAAAAAATTAAATATTAAACATATTCGAATAAATCATTTGAGAAAACTAGCTGAACATTAATTAATTTGTAGAATTCATACAAATACAATAAAAGAAACATGGAATGCTTTGAAATTATTTATTTCAAAAAATAACCGAAGAATTAGATTTATTGAACCGTTACTTAAAGAATATATGTGGAGACACAAACATAAAAACAATATTTGGGAATCTTTTCTACAATTGATAAAATACAAATAAAAAGATCTATCAAAACAATTTATTACTTGGTTGAACTGATTTAGAGTTAAATTATCTTACATTTTAAAAAATCTGACTTAGAAAAATTTTTTAAATAT